ACAACAGGAAGTTCTTTCCAACCTGGGGGTGGCTACAGCTAAAGCTGAGAATTGCAGCCAGCCCACTGCTATTTCTGAGCCCAGGGTGGTTACTCAGGGAGCTGTAATTAAGCTCACCTCTAATTTGATAAGCGAGAGTAGCCTGACATGAGAGAGTAATTAAGTCTCACTGAGAAGCAGCACGAGGCGAGGCGTTTCTGGGCCCCAGGCCTCCTGAAACTGGTCTCATTCACACCCCTCTCCTTTCCTCTGACACATCTGCATGTCTGAGGAGACAGGATGGCCTTCGGCCCAGCCTGGGAATACTTCCTGCCCCTGTTCTCTCCACCCTCAGGTCCTCCACCAGGGTCAGGCCATTTGTTAATACCATAGACACCTGTGCCATCAGACAGGGAAGGCTGGGCCTCCCTTCCCTGCTTCTCTCTGCAAAACTATGGACTAGGAGGAAGTTGACCTTACCAGCCCCCACCATCATTCCTTCACTGAGCCCTAGAGTTCTGATAGGCAGACTGAGGCAGACTAGGGGTACAGGAAGGGGCCCCAGAGATGAAAACCAGGCGGCTGGGTTTCTGTCTTGGCTCTCTCTTTCTCTGGCTGTGATAGCAGGTAAATCACTGCACCTTCCTGAGGCACGGTTTTCCTTATCTGTAAAATGGGAACAATGGTCCTGACTAACTCACAAACTGTTTACATTAGAAATGAGTTTTGGCTGGTCGCAGGTGGCTCATACCTGTAATCCTAGCTACTCAGGAGGCAGAGATCAGGAGGATCACAGTTCAAAGTCAATCCTGGCAAATAGTTCTGAGACCCTATCTCAAAAAGAAACCCATCACTAAAAAGGCTAGTGGAGTGGCTCAAGGTGTAGACCCTGAGTTCAAACCCCAGTATCATACACACACACAAAAGTAGAGTTTTGGACTCGCTGAGTTAGTTGTGAGGGGGCATATGGGCAGCTCACCAAAGGCATCAAAACCTGTCTCAAAGTTCTCTGCCATCTGAGGGGAACTCTGGTGGTCACCCAGCCTGGTGAGTATCATCGAGAATGAGAAATGGGATAACCACAGCCGACCAGGGGAAGACTGAAGTTGTCCTGTGCAGGTCTGGGTCAGAGCCAGGTACCAAGGAGTTAGTTTAAAGTGATAGATATCGACTCAAACAGCTGAGTCCCCTTTCCGTCTCTGAGGTTATTATGAGGGTCATAGTAGCCTCTCTCAGCCCTCAGCAACCCATCCTGGTCCCTAGCCAACAAGTTCTCACCCCGTGCCACTCTCTGCACACATCATCAGATAAGGCTTTATATACCCTAGGGTTGGTTGTTCAATCTGCCAAAGCTGCAGAGCCCCTAACCCTCTTTGAGAAGAAATGACTGCTGCCCAGCTAAAGCTCCGCTCATATGATCCTTAAGTTCTTGGAGGGCAGCCCCCAGGCATGGGCTCTGGTGTTCCTATAGCATGCATCCAAAATGCCTATTGGGGCCAGTATCAGCCCAGCCAAGGCAGATCCCTGCCGCAAGGATGCAGGTGGGTTCCTCCAGCATGTCGTCTCCCAGGAGCCATGCTCAGAGCACAAGGGGGGAAGAAGAGGAGCAGGCTCTCGTGGCTACACTCTGTGGTTGTTACCGTGCATAGGCTTACATTCCTCTGTTACATAATTGAGGTATTTTTTTCCCCTCCTTATTTTAGATCTTGGTGCCATCTGCCAGGCTTTTCATGCATCACTAACTCTGAGCTGGAGGTCAGATCTTGGCCTGGGCACCTGGCTCTATGCCTCATATGGTGAGGGACTTGGGAAAGCCTGTTTCCGTATCTGTGAAATGAGATCGTGACCCTACCCTGCCTACCTTGCCAGGACTAGTGAACCCAAGCTGTGAATTGCCTGGGTAGAGCTAACTGGGTAATGTGCTCCACCTGCACACATGAACCTGGTTGTTGCTTGGTCCCCAAGCAGCACTCACCTGCACCACTTCTGGTGGTGCTCACAGATTTGTAGAGCAGGGTTATTTGAAATATAGGAAGTGAACAGTCCTCACATGTGTGGAAGTCTTTGGTATAACCCCTGCCATGGGTGGTACAGGCACAGTCCTAGCAGCTTCTTACAGGCAGGGCCAGGCCAGCCTGTCACCTGCTCACACAGCCTCTTGGCCTGGGGGGCGGGGGGATGATATGCACAACATTCGCTCAGTGAGGAGCCACTGTCAGAAGAATTCTGTGAAAAGCCCTTGTTCAACGTCTAGCCATCAAAAAAAGGATGGGTTCATGTGACTGCATACAGATCACAGTTCCCCACCAAGGATGGGCGAAGTCTGGGTTGCAGGCTGAACCTAAGCTGACCCACCCCCAGCCCCACCCACCACACACACCTCTAGACTTTGTCTGCCAAGCTTGCTCCTCCTGCCTGTGACATCAACTGAGATGCAAGGTCACACCACAGGAAGTGGCAGACTGCGACCAGCAGTGGTTGCTAGACCTCCCTGCCATGCAGGTCCTGGGGGGAGGGGCCAATGAGCTAATGAATGCTTGGTTCTTGGCAGTATTGGTCAGTGTGTGCAGTTATAACAAAATGCACAGATAGGTGCTCAAACAACAGAATTTTTTGTTCACATGGTTCCTGGGAGAGATAGCTCTTCCTCTTCTAATAAGACCTAATAAGGTCACCAATCCTTCCTATTGACAGTCCTATCAGATTAGGAGCCCACACTTTACAGCCTCATTTGTCCTTAACTACCTCCCAAAATCTCTATCTCCAAATACAGTCACTTGGGGGTTATGACTTCCACATATGAATTTGAGGGGGACATGATTTAGCCTGTAGTACAGGGCCTGGTGTGGGCTAGCTGCTGACTGAAATGCCCTTGCTTCAGAGATGTCTTGTCGTTCAGAGGCCCAAGCCTAGACCTGTGAGGAAACTTAAGGAAAGTGGCCCTTAGGCCTCCCTGACGGAGTATGTCTTTCCAAGGTGGGAATACCGAAGACATGGCTCCTCCAAAGATGGGGCTTGTGGATACCATTTGTTCTCAGCAGGATTGGACAGTGGGAATTGGAAGCAGCTTCTGGAAGGCTTCCTCCTACTCAACAAGCAAGGGCCTCGCTCCCAGTCGTTGTGAGCCATAGTCAGCTATGACAGTGAATAGTGCCACTGAGGCAGTTTTGTTCTGCCCGGGTTCTGCCCCATGCACTGTGATGCCGAGCGAGTCACTTTCCCTCTTCAGGTGTTGTCTACAAAATGGGAACCTCTGTTCTGCCCACCCTGCCCACCTTTGGAAAGATCAAAGGAGAAAGCAGGCTGTAAACCTCCCTAAGTGGGAGGCCTGAGTTAACATTGAAATTATTTGGAGGGAAGGTGCCTGAACTTTTCAATCACTGGGATAAAAAATGAAAGCCAGAGCAGCCTACAGGCCGACCTGGCAGTCCTGTCTGAGAGCTAAAATTCTAACAGACGTAGATGTGGCTTCTCTAGTGTTCGGTTCACTGTTGATTGGGGCCAGAACACGCAGCCACTCCCCCTTCCCACTAGTTCCCAGCCCCTGATGCGCTGTGTAACTCCAAGTGTTACATCCATTCTCCCTTATTAAACACAAAAACAAATTCTCCCACGATGCAAAAGTGCCGTTCTGAGAAGCTCCAGCTGGCGGCAAGCTCTGTGGTACAAAAGCATTGTACCGTTATGTAACCACCATTAAGGGACCCTCTCTGGGCTCTGGAGGTCCTGCCTGCCTGCCTTCCTCCTTCCTTCCCTCCGTCCTCCCAGCTTTCCTCCTTCCCCCTATGCTCTCTCCTACTCACCCTGCAGAACAGGGTGGGACAGGGCACCCCCTGTTTGAAGGCAGAGGGGACAAAGTCCCCCTGAATTTGCAACTTATGAGACTCCCTTTGCCTTGGCACTGTCTATGCTCCATGGCCTGTTCCAGCTGCCCAGGTTCCTCTGCCTTCTGCTGGCACCAGGCTCCAAGTTCAGATCAGACACCTGCTAGGAGAGCAGGAATTCTATTTCTAAAGGGGCCTTACTTCTTTGTTCCCAGGCAGTGTCCCAGGCCGCGGATTGCACACCCTTGGAGAGACCTCAGGCTTGTGTGGAAGCTCTGGAGTTAGGGAAGAAGCAGGCTCCACTGCAGAGGAGACAGGGTGCCCTCTAGCGGCATGCCTAGCCCTTTTAGGGAGAGGTACAGCTAGAAAGCTGGCCCTAAGGATTCTGCCCTAGGCTTGGCGCCACCTGGATAATGATGGTGCCTTGTTTGGTGTTCAGATATCCAGGTCCCTGGGCAACTGCAGGGATGATAGCCTTCAAATCCAAACCTGAGAAGAGATGACACAGAAGCACATAACAGTGTCCTGGCTTAATTAAAAAGAAGGCTACAGCAGGAGAGTAAGCTATCAACAAAAGCCTTCCCGAAAGCCCTGCTGCGCAGGGTGTGTGTGTGTGCGTGTGTGTGTGTGTGTGTGTGTGTGTACCACGTGAGACAGGCAGGGCACTTGGACCCCCCCCCCCGGGGAGAAGGTGCCACAGTCCTGGCCTTGACACCACTGCTCCATCTGCAGTCCCACCCCTGTTCTCATAGCCAAAGAGTACATCCACACAAGTCTAACCTAAGTCCTCCTCAAAGAAGGTGGAGAAATTTCAAATGGAAATCTCCAGAATGATCCTTATCCCTTGCACACAGCCAGCTTGGACTCATTGGGTGTGGGCCACCAGTCACAAAGCACCACAGATGTGCAAGGATGTACACAGTGGGCACTGAAAGCATGGCTCAGGGGAAAACACACAGCTGGCCAGAAGATTCCTGGATCAGTGGATCCCAAGCAGCCCTGGAATGCAAATGCAGTGTTCCTAAAGCAGTGACAGGAACACACAACTCAGGCCACTCCTGAGCAATAAAGGGATTATTTCATAGTTCCCTGCTAAGCTGAAAATTCTTCATGCACAGGAGAGAAAAAAAATCTGTCCTTTTTACTTATGAGGCTGACTTAAGGATCAAGAGATATATTTTTTGGCTTAAAGAAATAAAGGAATTGGATTCTATTCCATGATTAAGCTGTTTTTAATATACTGATATCACCACAAAATCTTTACATGAAATCAACTCCAGATAGATATGCACCATGTTTGCCCTGAGGCTTAGGGGTCCCCATCTGTGCCCCATTTGTGAAGGCCCTAGCCATTCACCACATGAACAAGTCAGGCTGAGTTATTACAGCTGGTCAGTGCTAAACTAGGTCCTCCTCAGACAGTGGATGATCCACAGATGGTTAACTTGCCCCATGCTCCTTTCTCCCGGGAGAGCCCCTCCACTGAGGCCGCAGTGAAACTCTTCAGTGTATGTAGATCATGTCGCTCACTGCTCCAGGCAAGTGGGTCATGATCTGCATCCGCAGCCACCAGTAGTAGTCCATGGGGTGGTAGCGGGTGTAGGGGGTAGCAGCTGTCAGGGCATGCGTGACAGCATCGATGACGGAGGTCGTGTCTGTGGAGCCGCTGTTGCAATAGGTCTCCATCTTGGCGATCTTCTCATCAAAGTACTTCTTGCCGTAGTCCTTGCGCACGACCTCAGGCAGCTCATCCCACATCTTCTTGGCAATGGCTTGGATGCGCTCAGGGCTGTAGAGGCTGGTGGCAGCAATGAAATTGCCGGGCTCCACCACACTGACCTTCACGCCCAGTGGGAACATCTCGTAGCGCAGGCAGTCAGAGAAAGCTTCTACCCCAAACTTGGTGATGCAGTACGGGGAGCGGGCAGGGTTAGCCATGCGGCCCAGCATGCTGCTGATGTTGATGACACGGCCTACAGGGGGGACAGCAAACATCTGCTCAGGTGCCACTGCCCTGGGCTGTGGCATTCTGGCCAGAATCACCCAAGGTCGGTGGCCTTCTCATTTAGTAGCCAGGGTCAGCTGGAGCCACCTAGCAACATCGATATCCCTGATCTTCCCCAGGGGCCTGGCTGGGCCAGGTAGGACAGAGGAGGGGAAGCCAGTGAGACGCAGGCCTGCACAGTATGATGGGTGACACACGACTAACTCAAAGTCAGACAGAGCCCTGCCTGGTGAGAACACCTGTGGGTAAAACGCAACAGGAGAGCATGAGAGGCAGGCTATGCCCACGTGAATCTAAACATTCACTCTGGGAAGGGTGCTGTCAGGGAGGAACGCAAGCTTCATGTCGTTTAAAATCCAGCTCACTAGGTAAGATGGACGGACAAGCAAGTGACACACTAAGTCCAAGCGGGTATTGACTGAAGGTGCTAAGAGTGTGGAAGCCAGGGGCATTCCCAGAGTTGGGCAGCCAACCTCTACCTCTCCCTCCCTCCCTCCTCCCTTCCTCCCTCCCTCCCTCCCTCCCTTCCTCCTTCCTACCCTCTTTTCTTCCACCTTCTCTTCCTTTCCCTCTGCCTTTTTTTTTTTTTTTTTTGAGACAGGTATCACTATAAAGCCAAGGCTGATCTCAAACTTGAGATCTTCATGCCTTAGCCTCCCACGTTGGGATTATAGCAGTGAACGACCACACTTACTCACTTTCTGAAAGCAATACATCCCCTTCCCCCTACCTAGCCATGCACTTCTGCCTACCAGCATCCCCAGGCCCAGCATGGCCCCAGGATTCATGAGCTCGGCCTTGCTGTTGTGGATGTTGCTCTGGAAGGACATGCGTTTCCCTTCTGAGCAAAAATAAATGGAGTAGGGCAGGCCCAGGGGACAGGAAGAGTTGCCTTTTCAACTTGCCTTTGGCTCTTCGGAGGAGGGGGAGGAAGGATTTCGTTGTCCGCACTGTGCCCCAGAGGTTCACTTCTGCCACCTCCTTGTAGGTCTCCATGCTGGTGAACTCTACCTCCCCAAATGTCGAGATGCCCGCATTGTTAACCAGGCCCCACATTCCTGGACCGGAAAGGACATAACCACAGTCACCATGTGGCTTCAGTCTCTGATGTCACCCATTGGCCAGCGGTCAACTCTATGCCCCAAATTGTCTCAGTATCCCCGACTTCCAGCCTCTTGCCCAGAGCTCTCAGGAAACTTCTAGAGTCACCTAACAATGACAGGAGAGAGAGGCCTAAAGTTCTAGTTGTCTAGAATGTCCCTTAAGTCTGGAATGTCTAGGCCTCCTTCATATCATCTCTGCCTGAGTCAGTTCTCCACGCCCATCATGACCAAGCCCTGTCAGGGCCCCTCAACCTGTGTCTCACGTGACCCATTCACTTCCACTCCACTCCACCTAAGCTCAGTTCCGTGCCCCATGCCTCTTAATTCACCATGCCTCTGAGCTTTTGCTTACATCCTCACTCTCTCCAGAAGCCAGGGAAACCTCAGAAATCTCCAGACCAAGCCTTTTCTGGAGGACCATAGATGGGCCCAAACTCTTGCTTAAGTTAGGGGCTCAGCCAAATCTTGCTCGCAGTCAGGCCCTGGCCTGCTCGACAAAGGGACCCTCCTAACAACTATTACAAGATTTTTCTTCTTCCTCTGAGTTATGGTACTATTTGCTAGTTGTCACACGTTGAGGCCCTGTGACTCAGAAACCTGTTCTCCAGGATCCCACATGTATACATCTGCTCATGTGGGCAGTGACTACCTCCTGAGCCTACGTGATGCTACAGGCTCCAAGGACACACCACTGTCACAGTGGACATGGGTTGACTGTTTCCTGTTTCCTGCAAGACCAGCTGGCTTCTGTGGACTTTGAGAATATTGATACTGGAAGGGTCTTGGAATTTATTTTGTCTATTAACTAATCTTACAATAAGGGAAACTGAGGTCCTGAGGTTGGAGGACAGACTTACATCTCAGCAAGTCAGAGACAGAACTGAACCTAGACTGAGGGAAAATGGCAAGAAGAGGCAGCCTTGTTTTGCAGGGCCTTCTTTGAGTTCAGTTTTTTGGGGTGCAAGGTCTGGATGGACCAGGGTTTAGTCTCCCAAGGGTTTGGTCTCCTGCAGTTGGAAGTCCTGAATTCCTTCCCAAGGCGCATTCTCAGAGCAGAGCTTGCTCCCGGGCTATGGGAACCTGGTGCCTGGCTTTCTCAGTTCATCATGGAAATGAGTTTATGTAATGACAGAGTAATTGATCTCTAGTTGCTTTCCTTCCGTCTTGCCCAAATTAAAGCTTCATCAACTGACCACTGGTGCCTTTTCTTTCAATTATGGGGAATTAAGGACATTTATTAAGGAAAGGAAATTGCTGGCTAACAAAGTGTCTGAAGAGCTCACTCCCTCACCCCACGGCTGCCTGCTGGGGCTTCAGGCCCTCAACTCTCACTATGAGGTGGTGACCTTGAAGCCAACCTACTGACACAACCAGAGTCATCCCACAACTCCTGCCTCTCCTGCACACTTCCCTGTGTCTTCCTCCTCACTACTTCCCAGGAGGACCTGGACACCCTCTCTACCTGTCATAGCCAACACCTGGGCCCATTACCCTGTCTAAATGCAAGGCATCATCCTCTTCCTTTTCTGCATCTGCAACTTTCCCCTTGTCCTCAGCTCCTTCCCTTTAACTCTGTACACCTTAGGTGCTCAATACATGTGTGTTAGGTGAGTAAATGTCTACAAATACCACATCCCAAAGAGCCTTCGCTATCCATGCCACCTGCTCTCCCTTCCTCTGTGACTAAGTTTCTGGGGACATATTCCACCTTGCCCATCCCCTGTCACACCACTCTGGGCTCCTAACTCTACCCCATGATCTTTGGGGTCTCCAAGGGGCCGCATGGTAAGGGCCCTGTCCCAGTCTCCACTCTGCTCCACTTCTCTAGGACTCGAGCCTATTAAAGGTCCCAGAACTTGCTGTTCCTTTGGTGTTGACGGCCCCGAGCATCCCCAAGACATCTACCCGTCCCCAGCGTTCTGTCCTCAGCCTCCTGAACAACAGAGGCCTCCTCTGCTATGTGTTTGTGGATTTTCCAGTGATTTTTTTTATTCAGATGGAACAATATCATATGACCTAAAATGCAAACAGCGTCTTCTTCTACCTAAAAATAAAACAATTGCATCTGACACTACTATCCAAAAAAGCTTAATTAAAGCTGACCTGTGAAAGCACACTGCTCCTGTGTGACAGCTCTGCTACCTTGACAACTGAGTAGTAGAGTAGACCAGCAGCTCTCTGGAGTCCTCAGCCAATCCCCTGAATAAGCCACCAATGGCATTCCTGCCCCTCATCACCTTCCCCTGCATGTTTTCCACGGACCCCTCAGGAGGCCCTGCTCTCTCCCCTTGAACCCAGCTTCCTCCCATCTTTATGGTCATTTCCATGTGAATATTCTACAGGGCCCCAACTCATCCTAACCACAATCTACAGTTCCTCTGTTCCTCCTCTTTGTTAATGGCTTCACTTTCACCTTGGACTCCTCCAGCTCCTTCACTTCTCCCCCAACTAATGAGCCACACTGTAAAGATGACTTCAAGATCAGAATGCAAGCCACCAGGTCCTTAAGAAAGCACTTTGTTGATCTCACCTGATCAGCTTGATAACTCACCTAATCCTAGAAGTAGAGGCTAAATTGTCCCATATCTGGATAAGGCAACTAAGCATCAGAGATGTTAAGACCTTGTGGAAGGCTACACAGCTAACTGAGAAAGATGGGCTTTGGACACGGGTCTGCCTCAGGCCACAGCCCTCAGGGTTTGCCCCATGCTATTGCTGTTTCCTTGGCTGCATCACTGGAATTAGTTCCCTCCTGTACTATCAGAGACACCTCCTCCCAGTCTCCCTGTTTCAGTCTTTGTCCTCCACCTCTACCACGACCTCTCAGCCAGATTCATCTCCTCCTTTTCAGTCATTCCCTGCTCCTGTGGCCCCCATCCTGCAGCAGAATAGAAAGGTTTCTCCCCACCCCACGTACTCTGCCTCTCTCAATCTGATCCGCCTGCTGCTCCTTTGACTTCCCAGCCCCCGTCTTTGCTCCCTACCCCAACCTGAGGGATGCTTTTGTGGAAATTCTGCCCTCAATCTTTCAGAGGTAGGCTCTAGGCTCTAAGCACACCAAGCAGCTCAGTGTGCTTTCCCACTTCACAGATGGGCAAGCTGAGTCCCATATGTGAGGCAGTTCAAACCCAATCACACTTATTAGGGAGTGAAGTTGGGAGTAAATCCAGTTTTCTCCCTCCCAGACTGAGGGTGAGGCAGGTGTAGGGTCCTCCCTGGCCACAGTCATCATGTCTCAGGGTTGTACCTGCTCTTTAGAAGTCAGTCCTGAAGCCACCAAGCTGGTATGCAACCACAAGCTCCTGCTGCAGGGAGGTGCCCAGCTCACTTCACCAAGTTCTCAGCAGGCACTCAGAAAATGTTTACTGACTGATTGGTAAGTAATGATGCCAAGACCACAGCCTGTTTGCTCCCTATTCACCTGGCTTTTCCTTGGGGTGGGAGTGGGGAGGGCTGGTCACAGGCTCCAGATGTCCAGTACTTCCAGAGTGCCGCTAGGGGGAAGGGCTGGCAGCAGATGGCTGGGCACTCAATTCAGACAATCCCCTTCATCTCACCTCCCTTTCCTCCCACCGCAAGGCTGCCTCCCAGGGAAACTGTTCCATGGAGCTAGGATGAAGGCCATCAAACTCCTCATAAAAATGCGCCCAATGTTGGAGGGGGGCATTCAGTTCCTAAAATTCCTCAGATTCTAACATGAATCTGAGGCATTGTAGCTGGCAGGAAGGCTCTGGGAGAGCGCCACCTGGAGTTAAAAGCCAGCATTGCCTGACAAGTCGGGGGACTGGTGCTGTGTTACCATGAAAAGGACAGCAGGGGAGCCAGAGGGAGGAATGGAGGGGTAGGAGAGAGAGAAAGGAGGGGAAGGCAAAAGGGAGAGAGAAGGAGAACGGGAAAGAGTGAAAGCAGGAAGCACATAACCACATATCTGACAGACTTACTTTCTTTTTTTTGTACCTAAAAATCTTCAAATCTTTTTCCAAAAAACTGCAGTACTGGTTAAGGAAGGTCATGGTTGAGTGGTCTGTCAAACCCTCCCCAGAGTGCATCAGGTAGAAAAGGCAGCTAGGAGAGGTTTTTGTGTCAGGGTTGGTGCTGGGTTTGAGCCCAGCAACCAGGGCAGGGGGTGGGGAGCAGCTCCCACTGGGTGGCTGGGTGGGGGACCTTGCTTTGCTGGCCAGCCCAGTGCAGGGATAGAGGTGGTTCTGTTCTGGTGGCAGGAGACAGGTACCACAGCCCTGAGCAGGTCCTGGCCCTGAGGCAGCCCCACTCTGTGCTTAGGTCCTCAGTGTGCAATTTTAGTCACTATAAGCCTCAGGCTGAATGTAACACAGTAGTTTCGTGGCACTGACTGTAGCTGTTTTCCTCCTCAAGTTTATGAAGACAATATCCCACCCGCCCAGAGAGGGGGTAAGAGGAGGATTTACCACCACTAGGGCGAGGCAGGCTGTGTCTTTGAGTTGGTAATCATCCCAGTGGGACTCATCCTGCCTTTTCTTAATGGGACAGGAGTACAGACTCTGCCTGTTAATTATTTAACAGATGTTCAGTGAGTTGGGCAATTCACAGGCTTCTTGGAGAACATAGTGGCCTGGAATGGCCTGTCTAGGGGGAGGCAGGGGTGGTACTGGGCTGCCAGGTGACACCAGTGACAGATGGCCTGCCTCTCCTCCCCACTTAGCTGCTATAGTTTTTGCTCAGGAGAGCTGCCCCTACCCCACTGTGCAAGAAAGCAGGGAGCTAAGTGAGGCAGCTCCTTTCTGCCTGGGCTGCCAGGGGACTTGAAGGTCAATGGCATAGGCTCATTCTTCCTGGAATGCAGGCCAGCTCCACAGAACCCCATGTCACTGCTAGATCCTACAAAATGACCCCCTGAAGTTGGACAACAGAGCCCCTCCAACTAAGGTCCTCCGTTGTTCATGCTGTCTCCTCCTGGCACGACCTTCCCTGCTCTCTGCCACACATAGCCATTCCCACTGTACTCCCGCAGCTGAACGTACTCCTCTCACATGGGCTGCTCTACTTCTGGCAATGCTCTGTCCCCTGATGTTGAAATCAGTCCCCCACTGAACTACAAGGCCCCTTGGGGGAAAGACTGTGCCTCTGCCATCTTTGTGTACCCAGTGCCCATGTCATCACCTGGCCCAGAGCAGGCATTCAATGATCATTGGCTAAACTGGCCTGAACCACTGCCTAGCTATCTGTCACCCCTACAGATTGTGAAATCTCCTTCTGGCTATGTTTTACACTGTTGTATTGTACCAGTAGACTTAATTTAATCCACTTCCTTCTACTGTTCAGGAGGAAGAGTTGAAACAATAAAGAAAAGAGCCTTTTGACAGGATGCCAGCAAATGGAGGGTGGTATTAGAAAGGGACCCTGAATGTTTTCCCACACTACCCCTCTACCTTTCTCAGGCTCCTTCAGGCTTGACTGGACCATGGCTACTGCTTTCTCCACCTCCTCGTTGTTGCAGACATTGAGTTGGATGGTTCTCAGTCGGTCACTGTTCAAGCTGTCCAGCTCCTTGACTCCACCATCCCCTTTGTCCTAGGAGAAGAAAGGACTGCATCCATCTTCCTCCTTCCCACTCTGAGAAGATTCTGTATTGAGGAGCCTGCCTGGCCACAAGTCCTTGACAAAGCCTCAGGCTTACTGTCAATAGCACTTGGTATTCTTGGGAGCCCCACCAGTTCTGACCCACCAGCAGGCAATTCTAGTCAACCTCTGAGCACTGATGACATATGAACAACAAGTTCTATAGAAACACCCACGAACTTGCCCCTGTCCCTCACTGACAGGGTCCTAGCAGGGAATGCAAACTTAGTGGGGTACAGACAGTGGAAAGGGGGAGAGGCGGGGGATGGGAGTACAGAGCATGCTGCTTGGTACCCTTGTGGGTGTGAAAGCCCAGAGTTGCCAGATATTTAAATTTTTGAGCCAGCAATTGGACTTTCCTCTTAATTTTTTTTGGTGGGACTGGGATTTGAATTCAGGGCTTTGTGCTTCCAAACCAGGTGTTCTACTGCTTGAGCCACACCTCCAACCCATTTTGCTCAGGTTATTCTTGAAATGAGGTCTCTCAAACTATTTGTCCAGGCTGCCCTGGAACAACGTTCCTCCTGATCTCAGCCTCCCAAGTAGCTAAAATTATAGGCATAGACCACCAGCTGTCTCCTAATTTTTTAAGTGCTGGATATTATTCACGTTAAACAAAAAACAAAAAACAAACAACAAAAAGAACACTGCATGAACCAAAGCACATCTGCAGGTCACATATGACCAAAAGGCTGCCAGTGTGCTACCTCTGTCCTATGCCAAGGTTGCCATCAAGCCCCAGCTGGTAAGAGGCCAGAGCCAGGCTCCAATTCCAGTGCAGTCCTAACCAGGTTCTGTGCACTCTGGTGTGTCCCCTAACAAGTACTCAGTTTTTCTGACTGTAAAACAAGAATGTTGACACCTGTCCTGACCTGCTCAGTTTAATGGAATAAGGAAATTGTTTTTTAAGAAATCCACTAAACTATAAAGCGCTACACAAATTCAGGAATATCGAACATGAGAAAAGTGTCCTTCATTTGAAACATTTCTTGGGCCGCTACCATATTCTGGTACTAAGCAAGAAACATGAAGAGAAGTACCTTAGCTACTTCTCAAGGTCATATACTAGGGAAGGAGAAAGACAAGTGACAACAGCCTGGTGAATGCTGGCTGTGGGAAGCGGTGTGGGAGGGGATGGGAACAAAGGATGGGAGCAGAGGAAACTTTCCAAAGGGGGTGACAGCTGTGGACACCGACAAGAGGGGGCCCATGGGATGGAGCACTTGAAGAAGTGGGACGAGTATGTTACCATAAACCATCTGTTGTAGGCAGTGCAGACGGAGGGAAGCGGTAGGTATTAGGCTGGAGCGTGGATGGGGTCTGCCTGGGGCCACTGGTCAGCCGCTGGAGGGTTTTAATAAAAGTCCACTTTATTTCCTGAGTGTTTACTGTGCTGAGCACTTGCATGCTTTCTCTCATCATCTTCTCCCATCAAGAGGCAGGCTGCATGCTCACATTTCATCCCATGCTATTACACGTTTTTTCACCCATGCAAAAATCACTGCCAGTCATAGCTTGACAGTGATATTTCTGCTTGGTACGTAGAATAGTAATGCTTCTTGCAAGAAGACTGGAGTAGCTGTCAGAGAATGAAGTGATAGAGAAATGGCTACTCTCTAGCCAGGGCTTGGCCAGGGCACATACAACTGGCACTGAAATGAACATCCAGGGCAAGGCAGGAGCAGGAAGCCGAGGATGGTCAGCACATTAGGGGTAGGTTTAGTTGAAGTGGTTTGTACTAGGTGGGCTGTACCCCAAGACTGGGAAAGCATAGAAAACAATTTCGGGAGGACGAGGAGAAAATGGTGAAGTAACAATGCCAAATGGGACTAAAGGTACTAGAGAACATCACTCCAGAGAGAAGTTTCATGGGAACATGACCTGTTTTGTGTGTTCCCAGAAATCAGAGCTGGGGCCAAGAAGTGAACTTCAGCTCAAAGAAAGAGCACGTTTCTCATGGACATGGCAAGGAGTGCCTAGTAGGTGTTTAGGCAATGAGCAGGGGGAGGGTGAAACTTTTTGGAGGATGGGGAAAGGGACATGGTACACATATAATTCAGGTATCAGATGGGGGGGGTGGATCCCTCTAATATCCCTTGCATCCCTAACTGTCACCACCACAGCTTGATTGCTCATCTCAAGGGAGCCAGGTAGCAGAACTCATGAGTTCCTGTCCAGGCCTGGTGCCAGGAAGGCCAGTTACACCCAGTCCTCTCTGCACAGAGCAGCCAGGCTGGAGGCACAGTGAGCCTAAGGGCTGGCTCTGAAATCACCCAGAGGTGCCAATCTTCCCTAGCACAGTCACAGGTATTCTGGATCAACAGGGCAGACTGACCTGGAGCTGGAGGGCTCCACCAGAACAGAACTCCCCAGAGTGCTGGCTTTGGGTCCTGGGTGGGGGGTATGGTGTCATTTCTTTTCCACTAATGGCACACAGCCTAGGAAAACACATGTGTGGCCTTAATACAGTGTTCAATGTGGTGACCTTTCCAATGCCCCTTGGAGGGGAGCCTACATGGTCTGAACCTCAAAAGGGTTGCTGGCATCTACTGTAGATTCTAGCTTAGATACAAAAGAGGAGTGTCCTTCCTTTTCTTGGGACTCAGCTCTTCTCGACCTCTACCCCAGACCTGTCCTCGTGCCTAAGGCCAGCATCATGACATTGCTCCTACAGTTCCCAGGGGAAGTCCCTCACTCCAGGTCAGGTTGCCAGTTAAGAGTCTTCTTTCAGAGGAGACTGGGGTTAATCTCAGTGCCCATAGCTTCAGCATCAGCATTGGCCCACACTTTTCTACCTTCTCTTGACAGGCCACCCAGGAACCCTCAGTCACCCCCAAGCAGCCTCCACACCTTGCTCCTGGCAGCCATGCCAACAGGAACTGACATCAGCTTGGCCTAACTTTCCCAAGCACCCTCCATCTGTTGGCTGCAGACTCTGATGGCCTTTCCCCTTCAAGATCCTCTTGACTTCAGGCTAAGGCCTCAATGCATGGGCCTCACCACCTCTTGAAGTCTCCAGAGTCTGTCCACCTGTGTCTTGCTGTTCAGGGACATGCCTGCTGTGTTGGTGCTGTGTATCTGGTTTATTGCTCAACCCACATCTTTCTCTTACCTTTAAAACTCACCTTTCTCTCCCTGTTAGCTATTTTTTCTACCTCTGGATAAAACTATAGGAAAGTCTTGGAGCTTTTCCAGTCATTCACAGATACACAGAAACTCTTCATTTTGGCATAGAGCCCAGTTCAACCTACTAACCAAATAACTTCAGCCCAACCCAGTTTGGAAGCCCAGTTCCCAAATTTGCATCTGATTTGAAGACTAGTAGAGTATGGGAAGCCAGGGAATGGTGGTGGAGGATCTTATTTTGTACTAGCAAAGTCACAAATAATGTGCACATCTGTATTTAAGTTACCTTGAGGCAACAGACTGAGAAGACTTCACTTTTTTATATCATACACTTCTATATGGCTTGGATTTATTATGAGTATGCAGTATTCCTTTCAAAATTCAAAAGAAGGTTAAAGGGACAAATTGATCTGGAACAATGTTCAGAGCATAGCAATCCAAAGTCCTTTAGCATTTGTACTTGTTTATATTACTGAAATTTTTACATTAAAGAGAGATCATTTCTATTAAAGCTAGAATATAAAATTCCTTGGGCTGGGGTTTACCCAGTGGTAAAGCTCTTACACAGCATATGTGAGGCCTTGGACTCAATCTTTAGCATAGAAAGAAAAGTCCTTCCCTGGTGTTACACTTTGGATCTTGAATGTCACCCAAAGGTCAATGTGTTAAAGGTTTAGTGCCTAGGGTGGTGCTATTGGGATGTGGTAGAACCTTTAGGAAGTGGGGTCTCATGAGAAGTCCTCAGTTCACTGTGGTCCCTTCCTTTTCCTCTTTTGCTTTCTAGTTATGAGGTAAGCAACTTTGCTCCTCTGTGTACTTCTATCATGATGTGCTGCCTTGCTCACGCCCAAAGCAACAAGGCCAATTGGTCCTGCACTGGAACCTCCCAAACTATGAGCCAAAATAAAGCTTTGCTCTTTTTTTTTTTAACTCCCAGTACTGAGGCTTAAATTCAGGGACTTGTGTTTGCTAGGCAAGCACTCTATCATATGAGCCATGCTCCTAGCCCATTTTTGCTTTAGTTTATTTTAGGTAGTTTCCTGCTTTTGTGGGGGGAAAAAAGCAGTCTCAGACCTTAATCCTCCTACCTCCACCTCCTGAGTAGTTGTGATTACAGCCATGTACCATCACACATAGCTTGTTTTTTCATCCCTCACCCCAAGGAGTACTGGGGTTTGAACTCAGGGCCTTGTGTTTGCTAAGTAGGTGCTCTACCACTTGAGCCACACCTCCAACCCTGAGCTTGTTTTTAAGATAGGGTCTCAGTAACTCTTTCCTGGGGTGGCCTCAAACTGTGATCTTCCCATCTCTGCCTCCTACATAGCTGGGAGCCACCATGCCTAGCCCCTAAGTAATTTTTAAACACAGTACTTTGGAGGTAGAGGAATGGCTCAAATGGTAGTATGCTTGCCTAGCAAGCACAAGGCCCTCAGTTCAAACCCCAGTACTGCCAATAAAAAGCAAACCACAGTATACTTTGTATAACTTCAGTTAATAGCTGAAAACAATTTAAAGAAACTTTAAGCTCTACTGTGGTAGCCTTGGAGGTGCAGTAGGCAGACCTCCCTTCAAAAGAGCCTGCTATAGGAGCAGTTCACAGCTGGCCTTTAGCTGCTACACCTCCACATTCGCTGTGGCATGAGTGCCATGCCACAGTGGCCTGGGCTGCTCTCAGCCAGGGAGCATGGCAGGAACATGAGCCCTCCCTGCCCATGCAAGTTTCCTCTAACAGTCAACCTTTGCTGGGGGAGGCTTATTGTCCCAGCCTGCAGTCTGAGGCTCTGCCTACCCAATCCTCCTTCCTTCCAAGGTCTTTCACAGACCTGTACTGCAATTGAAGGACCTCCCTGCTTGTTCCTGCCCCTTCCCCCTGTATCCATTACAGGCATCTCCTCAATCTGTCTCTGCACATCTACTCCTATTTTGGCATTGGCTTCTTGGAGGATTCTCCTTACTGGGTTTGCTGACTGTAATGGTATGAATGTAGCAATTCTGAAGCTATTTTGTGTGTATCATAGGATTAAACAAATGAATAAATATATTGGTATAGTTAGGACCAGGGTTCTAACTGCAGAAGGAAGAGCAAATATGGAATGAAGTAATCAAGGAAATTAATTAACTTTGAATAGGAAGCCAGTATAACATACTTCATTTGTTACACAAATGTATTAAATACGTATACAATAGATCTTGATAGATAATAGTATGTCTATATGTGTGATTATACAGATCTAGCTCTGTCCACTGGAGAAGAAGAAGGAGCAGCAATGCCCTATGCCCAACTAGATCTTGGTTTCTAAATTCTACTAAAAGGAACCAGGCAAGAACACTTGTCTGCAGGCCAACATAGCTCAGTAGTACAGCAGTAGCCTAGCATGCACAAGGTCCCTAGTTCAATACCTAGTACCTCAAAAAACAAACAATCCCCCACATATCTACACAGAGACATATATGTGAGTGTTCATAGCAACATTATTCAAAATAGCCAAAAAGTCAACCATTTTTTTAAACAATCACCAATTGCTGAGTTAAGTTCTTAAAAGGTAGTAGATGTCCAGATAATAGAATAATATTCAGCAATAAAAAGAAATGAACTTCTGATATAAGCTAAAACATAGATGAATCCATTATGGTAAGCAGAAGAAGGCTGGCACGAAAGATCATGCACTGTTGATTATATGTATGCAAAAATATCCAGAAAAGGCAAATCTAAAGAGACTGAAACCAGTGGCTGCCCAGCCTCTGGTAGGTGTGGGGATTAACTGTAAATGGTCAGAAGGGAAAATCCTGAGTGATGGAAAAGTTCTAAAAATGGCTTGTTGAAATGGTGGCACAACTATCTAATTTGGACAGCCCCCAGTTACTTTTGCAGCCCCTTGTTCCAGTGCTTCCCTTCATGCACCCTAAATTCCACTTTCTGTCCCAAAATAGCTCCATGCTTCTGAGACTGCACTTGGGCTAGCCCTTCTGTCATGGCCCAAAACACAATGATGGGTCCTTTCTCCCTGTCTCCGCCTATGGTAGCATTATTTATTACCTATGGCCCACCTCTACTTGTCATGCCGGAATCACCCCCTTCCTTCTCTGCACTCTGCTGAGCAGTCTTGCATGTCCCCAACAATGCTCTTCACCCTCATTTTTCAGCTGTGCCTATGCATGGAATCCCCTTGTCATTGTACAGGAGCTCCTTGGGGCCAGGACCAGGTCTTACTCTATAGCATTTAACAAAGTGTCAGGCACATCACTATCATGTGGCAAGCTAATAAATGACAGGAGTGATGGATAGATAGGTGGATGGATGGATGGATGGATGGATAGGAAAAGCTAGGAAGAACAGCGAGACTGAAGCAGTGGAAAAGGTGCAGGCTGTTTTAAGCAACAGATGGGCTGGTTGTTAAGAAACCATTAAAAAAACCAAACTACAAAATAGTGAGCACATGTAAAGACAATGGTGAAGAAAAAGGTCCTTCTCTTACCTTCATCAAGCAGCCAGCAAACACAAGGAAGCCTTTTGAATGTAGATGCTTGGCCAAGGAGAACCCAAATCCAGAGTCACAGCCTGTGACCAGGACAGCTTTGCTGCCAGCCTGTTTTAGAAGGTTAGAGCCTGTGTTAGGAACTCAAAGTCTAGGGAGTGTGGCTAGGCCTCCCTCACCCTCTGGGCAGTAGTAGTAGTGCTTGCTGAATGGCCCGTGCTCCATGTGGCTCTTGTCTGGAGAAGCAGTAAACACTCAAGATGTTCTGGAAAAAGATTGGACTCAGAGCCAGGCAACCAGGCGCCAACCCAGACTCTGCCACCAAGTCACAATGCAGCCTGGGGAACAAGGTCTGCTTTCAGGATCTTGGTGTCTTATTTTACAATTACCATCAGGTCATGTCATCTTCATCATCAAAGCTAAGCTTATGAGGAGCACCGTTTACTATGTGCAAGTACTGCACACACACTTCTCATCTGTCCTCCCCCCTTAGGGTGAGTGCCATTAGTACTCTGTGTCAGCACTGAGAAAACAGAGACTTTTTTTCAGTGCCCAATGGAGTTAGTGATGAAGCTGAAATTGAAACCAGGGCTCAGGGAGTCCAGAGTCTAACCTGCTTTTGTTTTTGTTTTTATTTTTGGTTCTGGGGATCAAACCCAGGGCCTTGCATGTGGTAGGCAAGCACTCTACAGTGAGCTACATCCCCAGCCATCCTGAATCTAACTCTTAACCCCCAGCTGACTGCTCCCCAGCAGGACTTCCCTGATACTTCCCTCGCTGGGAGGAGTAGAGTGCCTCATTATTGCTCCCCACAAGTATGGGGGCGGGTGCTGTTGTCTCCTTACTTATGAAGGTTTTGGGAGAGGGTTAAGTGAGAAAGTGGCTGGAGTGTCCTGAAAGTACTAAAGCCCTCTTCTGAGTGTGGCTCAGGGCCTGGGGGTCCACAGGGAAGAGCTCTGACTATCTAACTGGTTCCACATAGCTGAGCTTCACTCACCGGGTTCACCTCACTGGCATAAGTCCGACGGCCTGTTGGAGTAAAGGAGGCTGAGCAAAACAACAGTGTGCGTCTGCAAGAGAGAAGAAAGCCATGAGCACGAGGTTATGGTCTCTCCCTAGAACTTGTTTCCTCGACACCCTTGGCTACCATCTAATCTAACGCAGTACTAACTATCTCCTCACCCCAGGTGCTGGTGACAACTTGCTGGTACACCTGAAAAAGAGACCTTCTTTCCACCAGCTGCTAGGCTGGAGGACAATGCGCCAGCATCTTAGCAACTGGACAGGAAGAATCTTCCTGAGACTAAAGCCAATCCAGAAACTACTTTTGCTGGGAGGCCCTGCCAAAACTTGACTGTCCTATTCCAATAAAGTGCCATTTCTAGTTTCTAAGGTGACACAGAGGAAAATGCTTCAGACTACTCCAAGTATAGACTAGACTTTCAATTGACACAACTTTGTCTAAGCCTTCTGCAAATTCAACATCTTAATTCCCATTAGGTTTAATGCTGCTTCCTGACAGTTATTTTAATTAAACTTCTTGTTTTGAAATAATTACAGATTAACATGCAGGTAAAAAATAATGCAGGAAGATGCTGGGAGCCTTCCATCCAATCTCCCCCAATGGTAATATCTTGAAAAACTTTACAACACTATCACAACCAGGATATTGACATAAACAAGCATCCTTCCTCTTAGTCCTTTCACACCCTGCCCCCACCTCACCCTCCTTAAGCACTTATCTGTTCTCCCTCCTTATAATTTTGTCATTTCAAAAATGTTATAATAGGGCTGGAGATGTGGTGCCTGCCTTGAAGCACAAAGCTCTGAGTTCAAATCTTAGTGCCACCACCAAAGCGGGGGTGGGAGTTGGGGGAGAATGTTATAAGGGAATCACAGTGTGTACCCTTCAGGTTTACTTTTTTTCATTCAACATAATTCCCTGGAGATTCATTCAGTTGTTGTGTGTATCCCATTTTTCCTTTCTCCCTTTATCTTTGCTCCATGGCATGGGTATTTGTTGAACTACTATTGAAGAACATCTGGGTCATTTCCAGTTTGGAGCTATTATGAACAAAGCTGCTATGAACATTCCTACACAGGTTTTTGTGCAAACTTAAGTTTTTATTTCTCTCTGATAAATGCCCATGAGTGTAATTTTTTTGGTCATATAGTAATTGGTTGTTTAGTTTCTTAGGAAACTGGCGTGGAGTGGCTGTGGCATGCTACATTCCCAGAAGAAATGTATGACTGACCCAGCTTCTCTGGATCCTCACCAGCATTTAATGGTACCTCTATTTTTTATTTTAGCCATGCTGAAAGCTGGGTAATGATTTTGTCAGTGTGGTTTTAATTTGCATTCTTCTAATGGCTAATGATGTTGAATATCTTTTCTTGTTTATTTACCATCTGTCACAGTTTAGACTGCTAAGACAATAAATCACAGTACGGGTGGCTTATAGTAACATAGTGGCTTATAGACAGCAGAAATTTATTTCTTACAGTTCTGGAGGCTGGGAAGTCCAAGATCAAGGTACCAGCAGACTGTGTCTATCGAGGGCCCACTTCCTTCATAGACTGATGTCTTTTCATTGAAACATGGCAAAAGGAGAGAGAGCTGTCTCAGACATCTTTCAGAAGGGCACTAATTTCATTTGTGAGGGCTCCACCTCTATGATATAACCACTTCTCAAAGGCCTCAGCTCCTAATACCAGCACAGTGGGGTTAGGATTTCAATGTATGAATCTGGGTGGGACACAAACACTCAGACCATAGCACCACTTGCACATCTCTGTGGTAAAATCTCTTTGTGTGTTTTGCCTATATTCTACGTGGATTGTTCATTCTTTCACTGTTGAATTTTGAGAGTTCTTTAGATGTTCTAAATACTAATCCTTTGTAGCATATGTGGTATGCAAAATTTTTGTCCTAGTCCATAACTTTTCATTCTTTTCACAAGGTCTATTGCAGGTAAGAAGTGTTGCATTTTTAACAAAGTCTGATTGATTCATTTTTCCTTTTATGCATCATACCTAACTCTTTGTCTAAAACTAGAATTTAAAAGAATTTCTTCTGTTTTTTAAAAAACTTTTGTAATTTTATGTTTTACACTTAAAGCCCATGATCCATTATGAGTTAATTTTTGTATGAGATACAAGACTTAAGTCAAAGGGTGTGTCTGTGTGAGGGGTACTTATGAATTTCTAATTGCCCCACCACCATTTTTTGAGTGTTACCTCCTTCCATTGAATCACTTTTGCACTTTCATCAAAAACTGGTTGGGCATATTTCTGTTTCTGGTTTCTCTATTCTGTTTCATGGTATTCCTACCTCATTTTTCTTTCTGAAAAATATTTTAACTAGGGCTCACAATGTCACTCAGTGGTGGTGTGCAAGGCCCTGGGTTTGATTCCCAGCACTAAAAAAAATTAACTTTCCTATTTCCTTTGCCTTTCCATGTTAATTTTAGAATAATCAACTTTCTTTACAAAACAAATCTTACTGGTGATTTTGATAGAAATTTTGCTAAACCTGTAAAATGAATTTGGGGAAAAATGACACTTGCATGTTGTTGAGTGTTCTGATTCCTGAGCACAGAAGTGGTATACAGTTTTCCGCAGACAATTCTTACACGTTTGGGTTTATCTATACTGAAGTATCTTCTCTGTTTCACTGTCTCTCTCTAATTATAATTTTGATGTCCACATATTCATTGTTAGCTACAGAAATGCAACTGCTTTTTGTGTTATCTTATATCCTCTAACCTTGCTGAACTCACTAGTTCTGGGAGTTTTTGTGAATTCCTTGGGAACTTCTAGGTAAATAATCATATAATTTGCAAATAGGAACAGTTTTATTTCTTTTTTTTCCAATCTGTATGACTTGTTTCCTTTTTTCTGCCTTATTGCTCTGGCAATAACTTCTTGTACCATGTTGGGAGAGTGATCAGAGCAAACACCCTTGCCCTGCTTCTTGTCTTGGGATAAAGCAATCGGTTTCTCACCATTAAGTATGATATTAACTGTGGTTCTGTCGCAGATGCTATTTATTGAGTTCAGGAAGTTCCCTTCTATGCTATTTTTTTAAATCATAAATGGCTGTTAAATTTTGTTTTTTCTACATTGATAGACAGGATCATGTGATTTTCTTCTTTAACTCATTAATTTTCAAATAATGAACCAGGGGCTGAGGTTGTAGTTCAGTGGAAAAGCGTGTGCTTAGACTGCACAAGGCCCTGGATTCAGTCCCCAGTACTACATTTAAAAAAAGACAAAAAGAGCAAAGGCTGAGGATATAGCTCAGTGACAGAGTGCTTGCCCAGAGCATCCAAGAACTCACCAGGCCACATTTAAAAGCCTTCTTTGTGGCTTTCTTCTTTGTCTGAACAGTCTGTTTTATAGCCTTTTATTTTTATTAGTAAAAGCACTTTATTCTCCTCTGGTATTGCTTTATATCTTGCTTTACAAGGTTAGGAAGCTCAGAGGAGGACTTGTGGGACTGAAGGCGCTGAAACCAGAGCTCAGATGACCAAAATGTAAGAAGATGATGCTATTTGCTTATAGACATTCTTGCAGTTAGGTACCAACTGATCTCTTTCTTCTAATCCATATTCAATATTTAAAACTCAGAACCCAAGGGTGCTGGAGTACCTCTGGGGCATATATTTCTCTTTAACAGGAGAAAGGTCGTCAATATCTTTCCTCCTTGACTTGTCTCCCTTCAATTCATTTGGGCTAATTCCTTGAATTTAGAGCTAATCTGAGAATCTTTAGTCCCACCATGTGACCCAGTGGGGCACATACTTGGGACTGAAGTGGTTAGAGGTTATTCTCTGGAAGCAGTAGGTATGCTTTACATGAGAACTTCACATCTACTGCATATGGATGTCAGGGTAGCCTAAATCACTGCCACCACAGCCACTTTCCTATCCATTAGATGACTTCTCTCAAAGCCTGAGGGTCCTAATAACTTAGGACAGGGATGAAACCACGGTTTTACGAATGTGGCAGGCATGGCCTTCATAATTCTAGGAGCTCATCTTTGGGTAACAGAAACAAAATTTATAAGCAAGTATATGTAAATTGCAATTATTTCAGCAAACAGGAGTGTATATGCTATTCAAATCCTACTTCACAATAGACTTTGAGTTACTTCTAATGAAGTTTCTTCCGTGAAATACACCATGCCACTTCTCTAAGTGTATACCTATGCCCACCAAATAGCCTCTTGCCTACTCACTAATGTTGTCCACTATATAATCGATCAGAAAAAAACAAAAACAAAAACAACAAGCCAAAACCTTTGTTAGGAAAATAATCACTTCAAACAGCAATAGAGCTGCCTGTAAATTACATGTAAGTCATGAGCTAAACACTCAATTGCTAACTCTTCCAAGGGAGAAAAACATTTTTCCCCCTAAAAGCAGGAGTGTAATGGCTAAATAGTGACTTTTTCTCAAATTCTGGTAACAGCAGGTCAAGATAATTCTTTGTTATTTTTTTCTATTGTTTAGAATTGATAGAGGAATCTGCCAAAAATATATTCTGAACCTAATTAGAAACCTTCAAGTTAAACTGAAAGAAACTGACATTTTATCCCAACAAACTGCACACCGACACAACAGGATTTATTCTATGTATACTCTTCACCACTTCCATCACAAATCAGCAATAATTATCAATAGCCCAGCTTTCTGCTGACAGACGCCATGAGTCAATATGACAGGCTGAATCCAAAAGGATAGGGTTTAGGAAGGACACAGAGTGGCATGTGTAGCGTCAGAGAAATATGGTCTCACAACAGCATCTGGGTAAGAAGTTTTTCTTCATATATCACAAGTGTGATGTGGCTGCCAAAAGAAGCTGTAAGAGCCCAGGTTGGACAGGAGGAACCCAAGAAAGGAGGTCAGAGCCTTTCTCCTTGCTGCCTGGGTCAGGCGCACTTGACTGGTATGTGCCACTCCTGGGCTGATAGAGCAGAGGCCTAATGTGTGCAACCAGGACACAGGTGGTAGTGTCCTGTGTGGAGAATGTATGCATAAGCCACCTGCCCCAAGGGTGCCAAATCCAAAATCTGAAGACTACGTGAAGCCAGCAGGTACAGCAGATTGTCAGACATCAAGGAAAGGGTGGGAGGCCATAGCTGGCCACTCTCAGGAGGCTTTTCTACACAGAGGTATGTGTCCTGGGTGACTCCTGCTCCGAAGCTGTGGCCAGTGGTGGGGGTCCTGCTTAGGCACCACATTTTAAGAAGGAATACAGGTCAAATGGAGATCACTCAGGAGGGAGATCTGAATGCTGGGTAGGCAAATCCAAGGAAGAAAAGTGATGGAAAAACATGTGGATGAATAAGAGAAGATGAGTGAGCGGGTATTAGGTGGCTTGGTGTCCCTGGGGAGGGAAGGATGAGCTTGTCCAGTGTGAATACAGAGGCAGACCCAGGAAGAAGAAGGCATTACAGGAGAAAAGACTTCTGCTTATTATGAAGGACTGTAACAGTGCTGCCCAAAGACAGGAGACCTGCTGTCCCCACCACTGGACATATTCAACTGCATAGAGGCTGGCAGGTGACCAGAATGCTATGAGGTCAGCATGATTCACCCACAGACAGGTAGGGGCTGCTGTGTTGTGTGAGACCCTTTGCAATTGAGATTTAAGCAAAATGATCAAGACAGTGATTATCCTTGGTGCCAGCCTCCTCCCAAACTTGGTTCTCCCTCCTGGGCCTCTGCTGATGCTTCACCATGAGGATATTTAATGCATTCTGACTCAGCTCTGGCCAACCCCACCCAACCTCCATGCTCCCTGACATACCAGGGTATTCTTCAATCCATCTACATCATTCAGAAGGTCCCAGAGACAGATTTTTCTTTTCCCTCAAATGAGCCAGAAGCCTAATTAATGCCTGGCTTCACTTTAAATTGAGGACAGAACCTTTGTAAAACTATTTTAACTTCCTTTGGGATCATTTTCTCCTCTATAAAAAAAAATTCCAGCAATCTCTAAAAGCCACCTTTGAGAGACAGATTTTCCTGTTCATATGAATCACTTACTTAAAAAAAAATGGAGGGTGGCAAATAGCTGGGTAGGTTGATCATACCCCTCAGTAAGGTACCAGTGAGGAAACTCTGCCAGGCAGCAATGTCTACAGATTCCAGAGAGAGGGAGGACAGGATAGAGGAGCTATGGTACTGAAGGTGTTCAAACGCCCAGCGCCAGACCTGTTGAGAACAGGACTCTAAAAGGCAAGTATGCGTGGAAGCTTGTGATGCAAGCCCTTTTTTGCTGGCTTAAAGAGCAGGGTCTCCAGAATCAAAGGGAGCACATGGCTCTTCCTAAAATAAAAGTGTTTATGCCCAACATGAAGTGGAATTCTACTTGGGCAAGAGATATGTTATGTGTACAAAGCAGAAAACCACAGGGTGACTCTAGGCAGCAAACGGAACAAAACCAGAATCATCTGGAGAGGTGACTCATACCATGCAAACAGTGACATGGGTCCTACTATATTCCAAAGCAACCTTCCTGCTTAGACCTAAGGACACAAATCCCTGTGATGTGGTACCCCTCAAGGATTTAAACTAATGGAAAGTAAACAAATAAAAGTAGACTTGTAAAAAGAGAAAAAAAAAATGCAGAGACCCTTCTTCCAAAGCCGTTCAGAAGCCAGGCTCAGTGACGTGTTGGATACAGTGACCCCTGTTCTTCAAGGAGGGTCCTTTTAAACTCCTCTCACATGGTGACCTCAGGACATTGAAGTCCCATCTCCAAGCTGAGCCTCTGCTCTGGATCCCGTACAAATGTGTTTGAGCAAGTGTAGTAAAAAATCTAAATATATGTTCTTCTAAAGATATTTACTGGCATAGAAAATATCAGCTTTCTAGCTGCTAGGACTTTGAGTTTAACCTGACATTCAGATTCACTCCTCTCAATATGACAGAATGAGACAGGTATATCCACTTTTTTCCCTTGTTCAAGAGGAAAACACAGTAGCAGTGCACACTGAATGCCTTCTGAAAAGGCAATTTCAGAGCTCTCAAAGAAGACCTAGTTAAGGGTGGTGAGTATACCCACAGTCCCAGGTGCTGGGAAGCTGAGCCCAGGAGTTCCAGACCAGCTTGGGTAAAAGTGAGACTCTGTCTCCCTTGTCCCTCACCCCCTAAAAAACCTATTTAATTTTAAAAAACTTATTTAATGCTTCTGAATCACCCAACAGCTCAATGAAGTCTCAGGACATTTTAATTAGCCAGTTTCATGTGTAAAATGTGAAAAGAACAAAGAAATGAGCCATGTGAACGTCATGTGCCCTGATGTCACATGTCCCTGGGTGTCATGTGCAGAGAAGGGCATGCCTCATTTCCACAGGCTGCCTGCCAAACACACACCTGGATCTAAATACTAGGAAACACCACACAAACCCAGACTGAGAACCACTTTTCAGCCAGCAGTCCTCAGAGTCAAGGTCATGAATGCAAAAGGCCAAAGAACTATTCCCAATAGTAAGAAACTAAAGAGGCATGTCGATTAAATGCAATGTGGATTCTGAATCGTATCCTGGACCAGAAAAAGATCTATTGGTGGGCCACTGGGTGAAACTAAAGTCTGTAATTAGTTAACAATATTATATCAACGGGAATTTCCTGATTTTGATCATGACACTATGGTTTTGTAAGATGTAAACATTTGGGAAAGTTAGGTAAAGCAGATCTGGGAATCCTTTCTTCAAAATTTTGCAATTTTGGGATTCTAAACTTATTTCAAAATAAGAAGGGTTTTTAAAAGCAGTCATGAAAGCTATTCTTTGCTCTGTGAACCCGGTGATGGTGTGGTCTTCTGAGGATACCACCAGGCTTCCTTTGCTGGGACCTGGCAGGTACTGAGAAATCTTTGATAGTCAGGACCTGAGTCATATCCACCCTTAGTTGCTTACCGTGTTCCATTTTCTCTATCATAGACACTGAGGGCTTTTCCTGGGAGCTGTGACAGGGGTCTGGAGAGGCGTGTGACCAACATCATGGCAACAAGTGGCAGAATGGTCTGCTTCCTTCTGGGAATTCTGAAACACAAAATGCACCCTTACTCAGTATGACCTTGTTGTCTTCAGGGATTTAGTTAGGAATGGCCATTTTTTTTTCCAGGTTGTTGAAGTCAAATGGCTGGGTCTACCTGACCTAGACCTGGTCCTGGTACCAGGCAGGCCCCTCCTAAGCCTCCCCCTAAGCTATAGCCTCAAATGAAAGAAAGTCAGAAGCTAGGAAATTCTGGCTGTGGTTGTGCCATCAACTCACTGGGTAAACTTGGATGAGTTATCACCACTTGTAACCTGAGAACGTTGAACTAGACCATTGATCCTCAAATCAGGCTACATGGCAACCACCAGGACAACCAGGGACCTATCCTCAGGGATGCTGACTCAATTCATCCTGTTCCCGTGTCCAGGCTTCTACATTTAGGAGACACCCATCTGAGGTGACCAGGACATCGGCCTCACTCACAGTGTGCCCACATGCCTCTGCACACAGTGTTTGCAGCCCCACATCACATACCATTTGGCTCAGTGCTCCCCCAGACTTCCCCATCCCAACAAACATGAGGTTCGAAGCTGAATTCATTAATAACTCATTATAGCAAGGTGTCTGAAGCCACTAAATGAAACTCTTTAAAACACATACTCTCCCCCATTCCTCCTCGTTCAAGGTTAAATCAACCTGTTGCAACAAGATCACATGTCGCTTGGTGTCAGCTTAAGGCTACTTCTTAGTACCATGACTAGTTGTACATTAGTAACTGTTGATCAGCATGCACACTAGTTGCCTTCCCATTTTGGTTAACAGTGATATCTGCTGCCCAAAGGGTAGGAAGGGGAAGTCAGGAGGGAAGTGACCAAGGCAGCTAGAGACTGGCAATGTATTCTAGCCTCTCCATTGCACACCTACCTGTAGTTTATCATACTGCTCTTGTCAGTAACAAGATCTTGCCTAGGAGGCAGCTCCTCCCCAGCCCATCCCAAGCCTAACCGATAACCAGTCATCTCAGCCAATAGGTCAGTTTTGTTACTACAATGAAAGATCTAAGGCTGGGTAATTTATAAACAAAAGAGGTTTATCTTGGCTCACTGTTCTGGTTCAAAGTCAAAGGCCGACATTTAGTAATGGCCTTCTTGCTGGCAGTGTCCCAAGGTGACAAAGCAAGAGACAGGGAGTGTGTGAGTATTTTTTCTGGTCTTTCTCCCTTTTCTTATAAAGTCATCAAGGTTCAGTCATGGGGCCCCACCCCACTAACCTTATATAATCCTAATCACTTCCCAAAGGTCCTAACCTCTAAACACCATAGTGAAATTTCCACCCTTTTAATGTTTCATGATGGGGGTTAAATTTTAATACATGAACCCTGAGAGGACAAGCTCAAACCACACCCAAACCATTGCAGTCAGTAATCAGTTCACCAGCACAGCAACGTTCACTGCACAAAGCAGGTGGTAAGTGTGAGGTCTGTGTAATTCTTAGGAAAGGAGAACAAGCAGGGCTCTGGTGTAAGCTATCTTTCTGGAACTTTGCAGTGGACTTCTGCTAGTGCTCTTGAACCTACTTGCCACAGTCCATTCTATGTGCTGCTGCCAGAAAGATCTTTGTAACACCTGGCAGGTTCTACAGCTCCTTTGCTTAAAGCTTTCTTTTCAGGCCTGCTACTGCTGGCCTCTACCTCCCTTTCTCACCATACTGTAGCCAACACTCACCTTCTAAAAGTTTCTTGTATATGCCAGCTTTCTCCTGCCTCACAGCCCTGACCCCTGTCCTTCTGACCACTCAGTCTTCAGAGTGACTGCCTTTGCTTTGAATATGGTTTGCCCCTCTAACATCCATGTTGAAACTTGTGTGTGTGTATATGTGTGTGGTGCTAGGGATGGAACCTAGGGCTCCAAGTATGTTAGGCATATGCTCTACCACTGACCTACACCTCCAGCCCCTCATGTTGAAATCTAATTGTCATTGTGGTAGTGTTAGGACAAAGGGTCTTTAAGAGGTGATTAGGAGTCAGCAGCACACACCTATAATCCCAGAACTCAGGAGTTTGAGACAGGTAGACCATGAGTTTGAGGGCAACCTGGGTTATATAGCATGACTCTGTATACCCCACCCATCAAAAAAAGAGGTGATTATGTCATTAAGAGGAACCAATGCCTTTCTTCAGTGAGATCTCACTCTCCTGAGACCAGATGAGTTACCACAAGAACAGGTTGCTATAAAGCAAACCTGCTCCTTGTGTTTTTCCTCTTCCACACATGCCAGCTTCCCTTTCTGCACACTATGAAGCAGCAATGAGGCCCTCATCAGAAGCTGAGACAATGCCAGGTGCCAGGCCCTTGGACTTTCCAGCCTCCAGAACCGTGAGCCAAAATGAACCTCGTCTCTTCATAAGTTATCCTGTCTTGGATATTCTATTAGAGCAACAGAAAACAGACTAAGACATTTCCCTTACTAAGTAGCTCTCCATACAATGCAGAGCCTGGCACTCTGTAGGATTACTTTCCATAGCACCTATCTTGGCCCTAAAATTATCTTGGTTATTTACTTCTGCTACTAGACATAAGGTTGTGAGGACAGGAGCCTTGACTATCTTGCTCACCACTGAATCCTTGGTGCCCAAAGCAAGCCTGACACAAAGGAGGCACCCAGTGAGCCTTTGTGGAGATGAGCTGAGAGAGCTACTCAAGGCCCCCTGGGGGTGGGAAGGCAGCCTGTGGCCTGAACTGAAGTTTCCAAGGCAAGAGTCTGTAGGCAGCAGCAGGACAGAGCCCAGACTGGCCCTTTCTGGAAGGCTCAGGCCCAGGTTGGCTCTGACTCTTCACCCAGGTGCCATGTACTGCCCAGTGGCTGAGCACACATATCTACCTCCTCCACCAGGACTACAGTCACCACCACTGGGTGATTTCAAACATAGTTGTCTGTACTCAAAGTCTTTTCCATCCCTTTGGCTCCATGCCTGTGACAGAAAGTGCTTCGATATACTCTCCGAATAAAGGTTTGCTTTGAGCTTTGTTAACCTTGAGTTAGCAATATGTAAAGTACTAGAGTCAAAGTACTTCACAGGGCACTCTCTCACATGCAGAATGGTAGAAATTTATATTTTCCTTTCCTTCCTTCCTTCTCCTTATTTTTGTTGCTGTTTTGGGTTTTGGTGCCAGGGATAAACCCAGGGCTTCAGGTATGCTAAGCTCATGTTTTATCACTGAGCTGTACTACATATACCCCAGCCTCTTCTTTTTTTTAAGTTTCTGAAACACATTGCTATTTTTACTCCTGGTATAGGGGCTGGTAATTCCCAAGGCCTCTTCCCAGCTGCCATTTGCCATCTTAATGCCTCCTGCTGGCCACTCTCTGTAAAAGAACAGAGTTCTCAAACTTGCAAAGTTATTCACTTGCCTTTTGGCTTAGGGGCAGAAATGGGTGAGGATGGTGCTAGGAAAAGGGCAGAGCACCTTTGGGGAACAGTCTTCATAGCCTTGAAACTTGAGAACTTAAGATGTTCTAGGGTGACTGGGCACAAAGATTTGATTCCAAGGAACCAAATTCATAAGATATTGTCACTGCAGTGGGTCTGTCCTGCTCAGCTGATCCTTCTGCCTTCTCTCAGGCCTGTCCTTCACCCTCAGGATTTGGCCTCTGCAGCTAGAGTTGGAGAGTGAGAATGCCTGTCCCTTGACCATGGAGGGCTTAGTCATAAGAGATACCAGACCCAAGATGAACCCATCACTCTGTCCCCTGGCACTGAGAAAAAATGCAAATTGGCCTCTGTGGGGTGAGCGCATGTGATCTGGCTACTGAGGGTAGAGATCTGAAGCCAGGAAGAGATAGAGACTGAGAGAGAGGTAAGATGCACACACAGAAAGTAGCAGATGGCTAGAGAAACAACAGTAGCAGCTGCCTTCCTGAACTCCAGCTCTGTAAGAAATGTGCTCTTTATGTTATTTAAGCAAGCTTGAAGTTTCTGACATTTGCAGCTAGAAAATACTGGCTAAAATACACTGAAGGTAGATTATGTTTGCTGAATATTATTGTTATTTCCTAATCTGGCCCCATATTCTGAGAACACCTCACTTTAGACCTTATAATGAAGACACATTCCTCTCCCACTCCACTGCTCATCTGTCCTTCCCCAAGAGAAAATCTTACCAGAGCTGTCAAAATTGTCATAATTACAACCCCAAATCAAGTGGGCATTCCCTTCTAGGAGAACAGAATTTGCCTACCAAAGTCAAGTGAGACCTCCAAAACTGCTGTCTCAGGCCTCCAATCCAGGTGTGTTTGAGAACAGACCATGGTGAACACTCACAGCTTTAATGAGATTCACATGCCTCCAACTCCAAACTGTCAATCTCCAGCCTGGCCTTCTGCAAAACTCCAGACTTAGATATACAACTGTACCTTTGAAGGTTTAACAGGTATCCCAAATTTAACCTGTCTCAACGGAGCTTTTGCTATTTCTCTGCAAACCTGGTCCTTTAAATCCATCTTGTTCTTTCTTGTGCACTCCACAGCCAGCTGTCAGCAAATCCCATCCCTTCACAATACATCCAGGACCCTTTGCTATCGCCATAATCTAAGCCTTCATCCCTTCTTGCCAGGATTATTGCAATAGCCTCCAACTTGGCTCCCTGCTTCTACCAGTCTCCATGCAGCCTGCTCAACACAGCCTGTGTGATCCTGGAAAATACACATCACACCATGTCACTCCTGCACCAAACTCCTGTCAGAGTAAAGCCAAAGTCTGTCTTCTGGATTGCCCCACATACAAGGCCATTCATGACCTAGACCCATCTCTCTAACTTCATCCTCCCCGATCCCCCTGTTCACCGCACCTCCTCATAGTAGTCTTCTTGCTGTCTTTGGAACATTTCAGGCCAGCTCCCGCTTCAGGGTCTTTGCCCTTACTGTCCCCTCTACCTGAAGCACACTTCATCCATAATCCTCAAGGCTCATTCTCTCTCTTCAGCCTTTTAACTCAAATGTCTACTCAGACGTGTCCTGAACATCCCACCAACCCACCCCTACTCGACATTTTCTTTTTATCCCCTTCCTGGCTTCTATTTTTTTGTTTCCTCCTCAGCACTGACCACATTATAACATTCTACATATTCTACTTATTAATATTATTTGCTGTCTTTCAGTTCAAGTCCATTAAGAACAGGGATTTTTGTGGGTTTTGTTCACTGTTTTGTCTCCAACACCTATACCAGTGCTCTGCATGTGACAGACACATATTTGAATTAACAAAGTTTTACACAGAGGAGTGTCATGATTAGGCTTACATTTCAATAACTAACACTCACTGGACAAAAGCAGAAGCAAGGAGACCAATTAGAAGATGTGTTAGTGACAGGGCCACACAGGTTAGGCACTGCGTAACTCCTGTGAAATTATGAAAAGGCACGCTGTGGAGAGGGACACAAAGGCTGCCTGCCCAGATGGAAACTATGAAGGTGATTAGCCTTGGTCAGAATTTGGCTTTATGTTGAAGGTAAAGCCCACTACCATTTATCAACAGACGGAATGTGGGGTGTGAAAGAAGAATCAAAGATGTTTCCAACAGTTTTGGCATACATGTAAAGAAAATAATACTGTAACTGATGGATTAGGGAGCCATTCTGCTCCTAGGTTTTTACATTTCAAACCAGACCACCCCAGCTGTTCCTATTCCTCACCTGGCCTCTCCAAATCATCCTTTCTCCTTCTCCCTCTCCCTCTCTTTCTTTAGATGGGTTCTTGCTATGTAGTCCAGGCTAGCCTCCAACTCACGATCTTCCTGCCTCCATCTCCTGAGTACTAGGATTACAGGCCACTTTAACCGGCTCATCTACTTTATTAAATCATTTGCTACACTATCCCTCAACAAGCCCTGTACCTGATTCCATGCCTTACTCATCCTCTACCAAATCCGACTTGTACATCTAAGACCTAACTGGTACAGATAACACCTGCCTTTTCTAATCTCCTAAATCAACCCCCCCCCCAGCCCGTTCTTCCTCCTGCGCCTCTGTGACAGCACTCACCTAGTGAGGGTATCTGGAGGTATTTCTGTTCATTACCACTCAAACCCTATCCAACTACCAATCCCCAGCGGCACTGTGAGCACCCCTCGGACGGGACCCACGTAAACACTGACTTCTGGCTCTGCAGATTTATACTGAGCGAACACAAAAACTACACAAATTTCCAAGTTCAGCTTCCTTGCCTGCCAGGGGTATGTATATATGTCTGTGTAAGGCGGGTCTGACGGCATTTGCCGCGTCCCAAAGGATCCTGGCAGGAGAAGGCCTTGCAGAAGGCCCTCAGCAATGAAGTACGCGCCTCTGCAACCCCTTAGAGGAGGAACGACAGGGCTAGACAGTGACTCTGCATCGGCTGACCACGGGCAGACTTTGGCCGACTGGCTGGAAAAACACGCGCAGCGTTCAGCACCGCCTCCTCCTGCAGGGCGCAGCCCCGAGGCGGCCGCGCGCAGCAAGGCGCGAGGACAGCAGGGGCCCCATCCGGGTTGCTCAGACCCACGCGGTCTCGGCGGGCCCCGGCACGCAAGCGGAGCCCGGACGCCCAAGACGCGCAGGCGCCGGCCCACTCCACGGCGCGCCCGCGGACCGCGCAGCCAATCCCAGCGCCGCGGTCCTTCCTGCCAGCAGGGGGGCGGGGACCGAAGGGGCTCGGCCAGGGCCGCGCTCCCATTGGCTGAAGCGGCACCACCCAGACAAAGAGGCGCCGTCCTCCAGTCTCTGCGCCTCTGTGGCTGCGGGCCTGGCCCGGGCCCACTCACCACCCCTGCGTCCCCGAGGCCCCCCACACTTGTCCGGTCCTCCTCCTTCCCTAGCCCTACGGCTCATAAGGTCTCCTGCAACAGCCGGTTCGGCTCGAGCTCTCCTGATGCAGGAGTCGTGGCCTGACCTCTGTCCAGCATCCTTCTGGAGGGCGGGGAGGAGGCATTCCCCAAGTCCCCAAGAAGGGGAGGAGGATGAGGAGGGTCGCGGGGCAGGATCCGGGAGATAGGTTGGGAACGGAGCATGTCTAGTGCCTTAGACTGGAAGGCACGACTACTGGTTTTGAACCTGGCTCAGCCTTTGTGATTACGATGTGACCTTGGGCCAGGTCCTCCCTTCTTGAGGCCTCGGTTTTCTTCCGTAAAATTGCGCCATCTGAGATCCACGAGTCCCGAGAGTTTCACCTGAGGGCCTCCTGCTGAGCACCTTATTCACAAAGCCCGACCTTGCCCCCTGAAATGCGGACGGGGGAACCGAGAGAGTGACCGGTGAGGACCACCTGGGGCTGAGACGGGTCTGGAGAAATAAATCTATCTTCCTATTCTTGCTCGTCCGCGGCCCCAGGGCTGGTCCCGGGACGCGATGCCCCTTCCTCACCCGCATCCCGGGGATCGGGCTCCATGACGGGGCAAGACCAAACCAAACCGAGACGAGGGCGTTGGCGCATCCCTCCCGAGCCTCAGAGAAGCAGACCCTCCTCTTACCCCAAACCAGTGGGCCGGGGGGCTCCGCTGCAGAGGCCTCGGCTGCTACGCTCGCCTTAACCCGGTGCGGCGCAAATACTCGCGCTCCTGGCTCAGAGCGAGGGCGCTGCCACCGTTTCCTTTTCGAAGCCCCTCAACGACCCCTAAAACTGCGGCCTCCTACTTCTGGCACCCGGATGCGCCCACACACTTCTATGTGCGCGTTAGGCTACGCCGGGCGGGGCCCGACGGCAGCAACGTGGGGGCGGGGAGTGCTCCCGGGCCGCCTCCTTTGCCCTCCAGCGCCAGCCCTGGCACAGTTCCCGCTGAGGGTGCCCCAATCGCTAGGCGCCTAGCTGGAGGTGAACTCTCCCCCGCTCATCTGTCTCGACCCAAGCCGGGTGCAGAATCTCCACTGCCACCGCCTTCCTGGACTAGGGTGGGGGCGGGGGAAGGCAGAGGGTGCTGGGAGGTGTCGGCGCCCCGCACCGCACCGCTCCCAGGCTACGGACCGGGAGAAGGTGCAGCTCCAGGAAGTGAGGAGACTCGTGAGGACCAGGCTCCTTCTAGGTCCTTTATGTGTTTGCTGTCTTTAAAGATCCTCAGGGATGGCTGGTTGGTTGGTTGATTTTTAAAAATTTCATTTGATCAGATGACCTATTAAACATTTGCTCCCGACAGTGTTTAAAAATAAGAATGGGCAGCTTTTCACTCAGTGCTTTCAACAATAGAACATCTGAGGGCAATTAGTCATAGATCATGTTCCCCACCCACTCCACTACCCCAAGACACCCATTTCCAGGATAAGAAACAGACTGAGAAGCGAAAATAACCAGAGCCAGTTAGAGGTGTGTTTAGGAAAATTACAGAAGGACGGGATGGAAAGGAATTAGGTAGATGAAAACAGGACACTACCCGCGTGGGGGGAGGGGTGAGCTTTAAACCTGTCAATTTGGCTGCAGAAGTTTCCTGGGGGTTTGTCTTCCCTCTTTATGTCCACTTCCTGAAACCTAGAGCCTCGAAGACCGGGAGAATCACGAAAGAGGATGTACTTGGTTTTCTGTACCCATTTCACAGACTCAAGCCAGAGTCCTTGGTTCAGTGATGCCAGTTCATAATAGTTACTCAGTGCATGATGCCATTGTGATGACAGTAAATCACTGTACTAAACCACCAGGTTACACTTTGCAGATTATGCATTGCTGGAAAGCAGTTAAAGGAAGAGTTAATCCACCTAGGAAAACCTTAGATTCTAGCTTTGGACTAGCAATTAAGTGGAACTGTAGTTCTATTTATAGAAGTCAAGGAAAGGACAGTTGGCTTCTTTGTGGTTAGATCAGACACCTCCTGTGGGCTGGTTCACATCTTCCCAGCCCAGCTTTGCTGCACAATCAGCTGCATTCAGGTGTAACCCCACGACACCTTGTCTCAGCTGTACCTGTATTGCACTACTTCAGGGTTTCTCTGTCACTGCACTCTAGTACTCCTGAGTAAGCCCAGAAATGCAAAGGAACTAATACTTCTCTGGGATGACCTTTGACCAATAGCAGCCCGGCAGTGGACAAATAAGTCACTCTTCCATTCTTCCATCTGAGATTCTGAGGTGCCTTAGGTACACTTCCTAAAATAATAGTGCCCAGGGGGCCATAGCAGTGGCTTGACCAACTCAGTAACACACCCTTGACTTGCCTTTCTTGTTCCCTCATCCCCTATCTGACTCTTTCCAGTCCTCCACTCCTTTTCCTTAGGATGTAGCTTTGAAACGATTCCTAACGCTAACATAGTTGGCTAGGTGAGCCAAGTTTTGCTGTAATAAGAACATGCGTGCAGTGTCATCCCTCCTCCCAAGAGAATACTGTCACACCTTATCAACCCCATATGTGAGTTGTTGACCTCAACTACTGGATTTCAAGTCACATAAACCCCCAAAATTTTGACCCATTTTGAGAGATTAGGCTATTCAGGGGCACTCATTTATCAGCCTTCACCTATGCTGGGAAGCCTCACCCACCAAGTCCCACACTGCCCTGTAGTGGGCAGGGCCCTTGCATGCCTTCACCCATCTCTGAACCATGGACCAAGCCATCTCTCCTGATGGGGGCTAGGCAGGGAGTTGGAAACCTGATGGCTGAGAACTATGACTTGAGTGTTGATAAGAAATCACATCCTAGACTGCTGACATTAACAGAATGGCTTTGACATTCAGCGGGGTCTTGCGACCTGCAGATCCTGGAGCCCAAAAAAAATAACAGCCACACTGTGACCATCCAAGGCCAAAAGCCCCCCCCACCTGACATAGAGGAGGAGCTGCTGACACACAGCCCAGTCTCTGACAGTTAAAGACACATAACCCAGTTTTCCAGGACTGACAACCCCATCTCTACAAATGGCAGTAAGATCTTGAGGTCTTGGGACCTTCAGTGCAGCCTTCTTGTGTCTGCCCCACTGCCACCGGAGGGCACACTTTTGCCTTGCTTTCACTTTGTGCTACGTAAATCAACCTGCTCTAACCCTCACATCAGCACAGCGCATCCCTTGTGCTTGGATGCCTGCTGCTTCTCGTGTCCTGCTAAACTTCTTGCTTCTCCTACCTGCTTGCCTTGGTAAATTCTTTTTATCTTCCATGACACCAAAAGTCTCCAGTAAGAAGCTCTCAGAGGAAAGTATACCTCAAACTCTGATTAGACTTTCGATCCACAGAGGTCTGCTTTCATCCTGAGGGGCTACACTTTCATAATTGGATTCAAAACGAAAGTGGCACTCACTATGTGGCTAACATACCTTGCCTATCGAGTGTATTCCCTGTGAGATTTGCTTGCACTTTTCTCCCCTTTTTTATTGTGAAAAAGAAAAAGGAAACAATAAGCCATGTGACTGGTGAAAACATATTTTCATCATCTCCTGTTTTAACCGCACAAAACGGAATCGTTCACAGAATAAGCAGCCTGTATGCAAGCAAGTCCTTGTGCAGGCTCTGCTTTGTGTGTGTGTGTGTGTGTGCGGGCGGGAGGAGCCCAGATGAAGGCAATGGTTAACCCAAAAGAGGCATCTCAGCACCCCTAGCAGGCCTTGTTCACCAGACCCTTCCCAGACCTGCTAATGAACCCTGCTAATCCGTTTGTTTGGTTTCAGCTTTTCCTCCTTTATTTCCCAAAGGCCCTGCTTTCTAGGGCATCACCACTAAACTCCCAGAGACAGGCAGGAAATATCAGAGCCTCCCAGCAGAAAAGGCTCGCTGAAGGTTGGGACTAGGTGAGAGTCACACAAAGCTGTTCTTTCCCTTCCCCTAAGCCTCTGGCTTCTGACTTGAACAGGCAAAACCTCAACTGTGAGGTTGAGCACCCAAGGCAGAGTCTGTGAGAACCAGGCCACTCCCAACAGGACACATGCCAGGGTTCTGTCTCTCTCCCCTCTGCTCCTCTGCCTAGATTCAAGGTCTCAGGCGCATTTCACCTCCACACCTAGAGGGCGCTGTTACAAATCACCAAGGAAGGTTGGCCATCCCAGGGGGTGACATGTGCGTCAGATGTCTGGTAAGCATTCTGACAGGGACTCGCAGTGCAATCAGATTCCTGCCGGGGGCTCGGGAGAGGCTGGGTAGAAGAGCAGCATCTTGAAAGAGTCTCAAAACGCAGCAGCACAGAGACCCCGCCCTGTGCAATCAGCTGCTCAGGGCCTCCTACCTCACACCCTTCCCACACCAGCTCCGTTAATCATTCCCTCACCTTCCAGCCCTGCCCCTGCTAGATCTGGCCCTGCCCCACCCTGAAGGCCTCAGGTGGCTGCGGGCAGTGTTGAGTGTAGAAGCTGGTCAGTGTAGATTAAACCCTGCCCTTGGCCAGCAGGGACTTGGAGGTTTCCAAGTCCTCACAGAGCCGAGTGCGTGGAGCCTCCTGAAATCTCCTGGGTGCAGACAATAATGATCCTAGTCACAACCCAGATCCCACAGGCTTTCTATGTTTTGATGCCATTGAATTTTCTTTAAAATTTTTTTTCCTTGCTAGAAATTATATCCTTAATCTACTGACTTTAACAAGTATCAAGTAGGTTTTTTTTCTATAATTGATAGTGAAAGAAAAGAAGAAGGCTAGTGTGTTATTCTGTGCTGCTTCTAAAAGGAAGTGTGGTGCTAAGCAGCCCTCAAGGCTTGATCTTAACGTGACTGCAGTGCTGAATTCTGCAGATGAACGAGAACCAGAGGAGCTGCCTCCTCCCTGCAATGGATAAGCAAGTAATCCAGTGCTTGACTTAGAAAAGGGACAAGAGCAGGACAGGCACCACTCACCCCTTTCTGTCTGTCTGTTTCTCTCTCTATCTCTCTTTTGGGGTTTGAACTCAGGGCCTTGGGCTTGCTAGGCGCATGTTGTGACATTTGATCCACGCCCCCAGCCCATTTTTGCTTTAGTTATTTTTCAGTTTTACATGCCTGGGTTGACCTGGACTTCAACGTTCCTATTTATACTTCTTGTGTAGCTGAGATGACAGGTGCGTGCCTCCACTTGCGGCTTTCATCTGTTGAGATGCAGTCTCACTAACTTTTTCTCCAGGCTGGCTTCGGACCTCTATCCTCCTGATCTCTGCCTCCTGAGAAGCTAAGATTGCAGACATGAGCCACCACGCACAGTTCTTTTCTGTCTCTTGACTCTAACATATTTCATTAAAATGTGTACCTCAGCCACAAAGGTTTGTATGTGGGGATGAGTAGTATAGAAATTTAAATTTAAGTAAAAATTTTTTTTGAGACAAGATCTCACTGTGTAGCCTTGTCTGGCCTCCAACTTGAGATTTGCTGCCTCAGCCTCCCAAGTGCTGGAATTACAGGTGTGTACCACCATGCTCAGCTAAACTGGGATCTTTGAAGAGGAACTAGTAGGGGGAGGTAAAAAAATAAAAACAACGGTGGCTCCATTTCTGTTCATCCCACCCATAAAATTCCTCCTTCCTTCAGTCAGTTTGCATTGACTGAGTCCTTATTAAATCCTAAGCAGGTGCTGTATTCATGGAATGCAACCATAAGCCAGTGAGGAGTTTCCAATAATACAACTTAGTAACGAATGACCGATCATTAATTGCTAACATTGCACCATGTGTCTTCTGGCAGTATTTTACTTAACATTACAACTATCCTGAAAGCAACCTAAGATATTTTCATTTTACAACTGATGAAGTTGAGGCCCAGAGAGGTCAAATAAGTTGTCCACAGAAACACAACTAGGAAGCGGCAGAGGGCAGACCCGGCC